TCCAGATAAAATTACACATAATGGAACTAGAAGCAAAGAAAAACAGTTCGTGGTTTTAATTAAAATTTTTGCTTTTTACTCCATTAAGAGAGAGAGAGAGAGAGTAAAGAACATTTACAGGAATCAGGCAAAACTGACTTTCATATGCAAAATCATCCAAAAATTAAACCGTAAAAAAAAAAGATCCATTGCTTTGCTGCTTACGTATAAAGATCTAAGAGCTTGACATTAATTCTCAGCATGCCTGACAACTCTCCGCTTGAACCCGAACCTCCTCCACAAAAGAGAGGTTTAGATATGAGCCTGTAAGCTCTGTGAACCTGGCAGCCCTGAGGATAAAAGGACCCTCTGTGTTTTCCGAGGCGAAAGGCACATTGTGCGATAAATAACAATTTGTGCATGAGAGGCTTACCCGTGAAAAGGCAGTTTAGAAATGCAGTCATTATATTTTATGACTGCAATGAAATTTTCACCCACACATATTTTATGACTTGGTTCTGAATAGCTCCCTTTTATTGACTATTTTACTGAAGGAGCTGATTTGTTAGGTTAAAATGTAACATACGTAGCATCCAGACTGAATAATGTGTTTTTTCCCTACTCACCTTCTTAATTCTCAGTTTCTAAATAACGGGGTATTAATGTAACGTCATTTTGCCATTTAGAATGGAATTGAATTTTAAATATCCCGCAAGTACAGTCAAAGTTTGTAGCGTTGCAAATAGATTTATTGTGTATAAAAGTTATCCATCCTGCTGAACATCTGGATTATTTCCACACTGACCTCAATGCGCTGTTATCCATGATAAAGAAGCCCTCATGTGTTTATTCATGGATGCTGTTTTCCAGGAAAATTACTCCACAGTTAATTGATAACTTATAGCTTTACCTATATTGGAATATGATTTGAGTCAGTTTGGATGATTTCATGGCAAAAATGCTTGCTTAAATTATGACATAAAATTCTGAATCAAAGTTAATGCAATTATTCAGAAATATGCTTTGCTAGTAATTTTCATAATTATGGTGTTTCTGTTGCACCATACTATTTTTACAATTGATTTAAGGTTGATATTTCACAGCTGCATGATTCATCTGAGTTTTTCTTTAATCAAAAATACCCATAATACCTCAGCTGTTGTACCGACTCATTTTGCCTAATGATTGGTCGTTAGAGTCCATGGGGGCGCCATTCGGCCTATAGGGTAGCCCAAGCCATCGGCATTTGTAATCTTGTGCTTATTTGATGTTTCGTGCCTGGGGGGGTGATTCCTCCACCCCTGGCAGAAGTAGATTCCTGCTCACCTGGGTCCGTATCACTGGAGCGTGTTTACTCTCCGTCTCTGGCTCAGAGCTCGGAGTGGCAGTAAAGGCGGCAGGAATGTGCTGCTTCTAGGGTCACCGTTGGTGTCCTTCACAGTGTCCTTCACAGGAAAATGACGTGACATGTGCACAGCACCAGATGACGGGCGTTGCTGAAAACAATAAGCCCCTGTATTCCAACTGCACTGTACCTATCACTGTGATTTCCCCTCAGGTTAATTAGCAATTACCCAGTTTGTAAACTGCGTGCGGCGACTCAGGTGAGTCTCATTATCTCGCTATACTTACTGAGCTAATGTCATCTCCCTGCCTGCTTTCATGCATTGCTTCTATCACAATGAGGTCCTTATTATACTGTAGCATAGTGGTACAGAAGATATAGTTTTTTTCCCTTAGTGACCTACAGCTTGACCCATGATTCTGGGTGTCGCACAGCATGTGGCAGATTAATTTGAGTAATACATTACATTCAAGGCCTCTCTGTGATCTGTGAGTCACTGGCAGGTCTAGGTTCCGGTTCATTAACCGTCCACCCATTGCTGGTCCAGTCCTGCCTTCCACTGAGGGATATCTGGTTCAAGATCGATCGGACCCTTATGGGGGGTTGGGGTGGGGGGTGTTAGTGGGGGTGCCACTCACAGGTCGCTGAATAAAAACTGGAGAGCCTGAGCACAACAGAAACACATTCGCAAACCTGTCAGATGAATCATGCTTGTAAAATATTCACCAATATATTTACATTCACATATTTATATAGCATAAGCTTTTGTCCAATGTGACTCACAAATAGTACATTAAGTGCTACCTGCCAATATAAGAACCAGCAGCCTGGGTTAATTTTTTTTTGCGACAGTGTTGAAGATGAGAAGAGATAGGTAACTTTTAAAAGGAGACATATAGAGAGATAGGGAAGGAGAAGTGTGAGCTGAGAGAGTGATACAGATAACAGACTGAGAGAATAAAAGAAGAGAGACAAGGGGAGAGAGAGAGAGAGAGAGAGAGACGGACATGTCAAGGCTGTGTGAACCCCTGTCACAGCTACCCCCAGAGGACATCAGCAGAAACAACGAGCCCACAGCTGGAAAGGCGGCAATCAAGCATTCATTCCCCCCCCCGGTCAATCGCTGAGGGGCCACTTCCTGCAGGCCTGGCACCCAGCTTGCAGCTGGCTGAGAGGCTGATTTTATCACCTGCCTCAGGTAAATAAAGGTTATTTGTTAATAGATTGAGGTGATGATTTACAACCAGGCTGCACAAAGCAAGCTGAGCCAGACATTCAGGTGGGTATTATTATTATTCTATTTTTTTTCTTCCTCAAACGCACATGTTTCGTTACGTTGTTCACCAGTCAGCCCCGCTTCTGAAGGGAGCAATTATTCCAGGCTTGTTGACACAAGAGGCAGCGCTGTGCCAAGGCCGAGATATTACTGCGAGCAAAGGGAAAGAAAACAAAAAACAGCCCCAATCGCACATGGGATGAATTTTGCCCTGCAGCCATGAAAGTAACGAGATTTGAATTTTAAGGGATTGCGTTATTTGAGTCTTATTTACTCCCATAAATGGCTAAAATCAGGCTGCGTGTGGTGCACTAGCTGTTACACAGCGTTGACGTTACTGGTGTGACTTCCTGTTGTCTCCGTGTAGCCCCCCCCCCTCTGGGTAGTGCTGCCCCCTAATGGCGGGGCTGATTTCACTGGTGGTTTTGGGGCATCTCCCAACCCTTCCCTCACGCTGACTCCTCTGGGCTCATGCCACACGCTGTTGCCGGGGATGGGAGGTGACACCACCGACGTGACAGTCCCAGGGGGGCATTAGTGAGGCAAGGTGGCTTCCCAAGTGTCCTGGGTGTCTCTGAGGGGAGGCACCTGTCTGGCGTTTACCTCCATATGTGTTTACTGTGTCCCCAGCATGCACTGCATTACCCAGAGTGCCCCGCCCCCCCTTTCTTGAATGACTTCATGAGTCTAATGTGTGTTAGTCTAACATTCAGCAGCTTCTTAAAAAGTCTGCTTGTATTTCATTTCAATATGTTTAATACTTTTAGTTTGGCTAAATATTCAGCAAATGACCTGCCCACAGTGGTCAGCAGCCTATGGGGTCGTGGTTGTGAGTGTTGTGGGCTCTGTGTGTGTGTGTGTGTGTGTGTGTGTGTGTGTGTGGAGTTAGCATGTTCTCCCCGTGTCTGTGTAGGTTTCCGTCAGGTACTCCCATTTCCTCCTGAACTGGCCGGTCTGCGTGTGTGTGTGTGTGTGTGTGTGTGTGGTCTGGCGTGCCATCCAGTGCGCTCCCTGCTTCGTGTCCTGCGCCTACTGGGACAGCCTCCAGACTCAGCATGAGCTCATACTGGATAAGCAGTTTTTGGGAGACGGACGATGCTCCTGCCTTTCACATTTCAGACATTTTTAGACTCAAAAGAATCTGGTGAAAAGGATGTGTGTATAAATGCTAATAAATACATGTATGTGTGGGTGCTCACTTGGTTTTAGTGAATATGAGCTCATGTAAAATGTACATTCACCCTCATGCAGGCTACAGCCCTCCCCAGTCTCCGTATTGCCGGCCCGCGGCCATCCAAGGAAATATTCCACTGGTCAATAAGTCCGCACCCCCCCACTGCCCACCCCCCCCGTCAGTAAGTTTTTCTGCAGGCACCGCTGTTCATGACACTCTGACAGCTTCACTGTAAGGCTGTACGGCAGGGGTGCCCAACTCCAGTCCTGGGGGGCCGGAGCCCTGTGTAGCTTAGTTCTTTCCCTGTTCCACCATAAATGATTCAGCTCAAGAGCTGTGTGGTAATTAGCATAAGGAGTTGAATCAGGTGTGTGAAATGAGGGGAAACCCAAAAATGTGCAGGGCTCCGGCCCCCCAGGACTGGAGTTGGGCACCCCTGCTGTACGGTAAGAGGCCACAGAACGTTCATAGAACGTATGCTGTACTGCTGCACTATGGGTAAATTGTTGTGGAAAAAGGGCAGCATGATAATTTGCACTAGCTGAATGTAGCAAAAAACAAAAAAACAACAGAAAAAGGTGTGAGAGACAAACAGGGATAATCTCACCCTCAGGTACATTTGTCTGTGCACAAGTTAACATACTGCCAAAGAAATTTGACAGAGTATAGGAATTAGCTAACCTAGGGCACTGTTGTAGTCTGGGTTGCATGCATCAAAGCCCTGATCTCTCTGACGCGAAGATGTCTTCACCCCCAAAGGCGGTTTGCTACATCCTCCGCACATCGAGGATGACGTGTTGACAGGAAGCCTCTGCCGCAGCCATTTTGCGCTGGAAAACTTGTAGACAGAATTCAGAACTCGGAAACAGAGGTACATTCCGAGCGTAAGAAATGCAGCTATAACCCTAAGGGCCTAGATTTGAAAGGAAAAAGAAGAAGAAGCTCAGATTTTCTCGTTTGGGACATTCGCGGCTCCTCAAGTCGGTGGTTGTGTCTAAACACCCATAATCCTTTGAGCAGTGAAAGGATCCTTGCATCGGCGACAGAATGGCTGCTGTGTTGCCATGGCATTTGCAGACAGGCCTACAAGAAATCGGTAAAACAGATCACCGAGGAAAGAACATGCTACTCCGTCTATCTGTGCAATCTCAATCTCCCTCGGAGACAAACATGTTCATTTCCAGACCACAAACAAACTGCAGGAGGTTAAAGAAAAAACAGTGTGGTTTTGATAAAATATACTTTATTAATTCATAAGAAGACATAAATGCTCGGTACTCTAGAAAAGTTTTGTCTTTTGATTGCGTAAAAAGTTTTTTCTTTCTTTTTTTTTAAATGTACACACCACAAAATACTTGAATAACATTTCTATATATGTACACATTTGCAGTATGAAATAACATTTTTAGTCAAACAGTACCAAACAAAAAAAAAATAACGTAACATTTGCATATCTCTAGGGTTGAATAAAACTCAACTGTAAACCAGAGCAGTGATCCATTCAAACTCCACTGCTTGCACCTGTTTATTTATTACCATTATTACTATTTCTAACATCTTTTAAAAGTCTGCATTTTCAGGGTTAGTTTCTGCATGGCAGCTATGCTTCCACTCAGAAATAGAAAATAAAAAAAAAGAAACAGGAAGTGCAGAACAGGAAGTGTTTGTAGGCTAGACATAAAAATAATGTGGGTGTTTGCCTGTCTGCTTCTGATTTACACCCCGAGAAAGCCTCTGTTCCAACACCAAAATGTTAACTGTCAACTGCTGTGCGCTCCACAGGAGAATGACACAGTCCCCTAACCATCCACATGGGTGAAGTGCGTACAGAAGCCCAATCGTTGTTTAATTTCCGTTGCACCAATACTTGAGGCACTTTAGTTCATGGAGATAAGCCACCACGCAGAACTTCTACGCTTTACGTTGAATTGCACAGAATGCACACTTACGGTGGTTCCCTGTATGTGATCGGGGCTGATGTCCACACAAAGATCTCAGTGACCACAGAGATGAGTGGAAACTTCAACAGCATTCTCCCACTACCCACTACATTTACCATTATTTAGCAGAGACTTTTATCCAGTTGAGAAGACTGGGTGAGACAGTTCCTGAAGCAATTGGGAGTTAAAGGTCTTGCTCAAGGGGCCAATGGAGAAACCAACCAGGCAAACCTCGGATTTGAACCAGCAGCCGTCACAGAGGCCTAAACTGCTGAAATACATACCGCCCTGTCATCCAGGGTCGAAGACAAAAGCCAAGCATGGCCACTTGAGGCTTGGTCTACAGCTATTGAGCTACTCAGTCTCAAGCACGTTCACATTCAAGCTCCGAATGTAATTGAGTCGGTTCCCAAACCAGCTGAAGGTGCGCCGCAGAGATAGGCTCTAACGTTGGACTTACAGGAGATCCATCCACCACGCCGAGACCTTGGCACCGTGACCCAGTGGTGGCCTGTTTCTGATGAATCTGCTCATTTTCCAGTAAGAGGGAGTCATTTCGACCAGACAATGGAATACGAGACAGGGTCTGGACCTAAGGCCTGGGTCTCTTTATCAAATTAGACCTTGCTGTCACTCCCAGATCATTTATTCCGTGATGGATCAGCTATTTGTGGGCAAAGGCTGAGAAGCTAAGATGTTCTTTCCATGTAATTACTGCCATGAGTATGGATTAGTCTATCAATTTACCTACTATCTAATAAGCATTACCTTACATTACTGGAGACGCATCCTGGTTCGGCTAAGTGGGCAATGTACCTCTGGGGAGGTCACGCCAGTGTTAAAGCTGAATTATGGGACATCTCCAATCAAGTAGAACTTCCACTATAGATCTAAAAAAAAAAACCATATATGACAATGACAGTTAAAAAAAACCAAGGGAACAGAAGAACTTTACACATCAGATAAATATAATGTTTTCCCTGCCCTGTGGTTGAAATACCCGTAACACAGCATTTTTGGTTCCTTTTTGAGTGTCTTGTCTGTTTATGAAGTCGCCCGTTCCATTTTCCTCGTTCCTGCTTGATTCCCGGTGCCGGGGAGCACCTTCGACTCAGATGAAGGAAGAAAAACTCACGAGCGAATGCAGAATTACCAACAGTGAGGCCTGGATGGGACCCACGATGCACGAAAGTGACTAGGCAGCTTAGTGAGACGATTGCTTGGAAAGTCAAAATAAATTACCATAGAATAGATTTCTGTACAGTTTACACAAGTGACAATATCTTCACCTTTTGTTTATTAAGAAAAAATCCTTGATTCCCATCCAAACTAGGTGTCCTTGATTCCCATCCAAACTAGGTGTCCTTTATTCCCAACCGAAGTCTTGTCCGGTCATTTGATAGAACTTCATGTTAAATGGCCTATAGAAGTCCCGCAGTCGTCTCACTACATCTGGGTTGATGTTGGGATGGGTCCTGCCCTTAGTCTTGCCCAGGCAGTGGGGTTTACTACTGCCCTCTGCCTTCTTCAAGCAGGGAAAGCCCTTGGTGTGGTTGAAGTAGAAGTGCTTGTCCGTGACGATGCGCTTGAGGCCCAGAAAGTCCTGCACGCGGGCCATCTCGCCCGCCGGGTCGCGGATCAGCCGCTCGCCGCTCACGAACAGCATCTGGCCCAAGGGGAAGAAGCGCAGCCAGCTGTCCAGGTGCTTGGCGTAGAGCCCGATCTGGATGGCGCTCCAGGAGGTGTCGATGAGGCCTGTGCTCCGGTTCTTGAAGGTCAAGCTCTCAAAGGTGGGGATGTCGGGCTTCTTGGACAGTGTCTGGGTGTAGTCGGAGATGGCTCGGGTGACGGGGTCCCGCACCACCACGATCAGCTTGGTGTCCCGGGACATGGCGTAGATCCGGGCCGGGGCCTCCCGGGTCACGAAGTAACTGGGGGTCTTCTCCATGGTAATCTGACCCTCAAGAGTTTTCGGCATCAGGTCCCTGTGGATAGAAGAATGGAATTAATAATATAGTTGCATCAGATGTTGTGGAAAAGTTTCAGCCCTTGCAAACTTTAACCCTTTACATCCTCCGTGCTTAAAACTTGAGAGATCCTTACCTCATCTTGACCTGTAAGCACTGTCCACCTTGGGGAACGAGTCAAGACTAATCTCCTTTATAGAGGAGGTCCCTGGCAGTAGGGACAGGTGGACCCTATTTAAACACACGTGGTGAACTTAAAGAAAGGGATTTAGACAGGAACGTGCTTGCTGAGGCCAAAGTCTCACCTGTGGCGACTTACGGATCGCTTTTCAATTTCCAAAAGGAACCTGGGTAAGGAAGGAGATCGTTTACCTGCAGACCCGTAATCAAGTAGGTATTCTGAAAACACGGTTGTTTGTGTTTAGGCAAACATATTCTATTCCATGGGAATGCGGTGTTAAATGTCAGAAAAGCAGCCCTGACGAGAGCGGATTACGTGGAAGTGATAAGAATGCTTATGGAAATGTGAGAAGATGACTACCAAAGGGTGAGATTTTTTCAGGATGCTTCGGAGCCATAGATCTTTACTACCTGCTAAAGGGTACAATATTTTCTTGGTGTCTTCAGGCCATGCTGAAATCCTATCTTTTAACTACAGCCTAACACTGGGCTGGGCTCCTGCAGGCAGCAGAAGAGGATTTCCAGCCAGAAGCTTACAGGTTCACAGCCCAGGATGGAGATTTGTGCCCCAGATACCTTTTGTCATTAGACTAAGGATTCTCTCAGGTGGTAGCTTCTCTATTTTGGAGAGAAATGGTTGATGTATGGCAGGAAGTAATTTCCACAAACAGAGACACGGGACTGGATTCCTACCTAAAGCCACAAGATAAACAAATGCTCTTTTATTTGCGAGCAGCCAATGTCTGGCAATGATTCTCAAGTGGGGGAATAAGGAGACCCAAGAGCGGCTCATTCACTGGCAACAAAAGGCTGGCTTTGCAGACTCTTTGCTGAGGATGTCTCTACATTTTACGGTTTCCCCGAGGACCGAGTGGCCTGGGTTTCATCACGCCTCCCTGATTACTGCCGCTTCAGGAGACCCATAGCATGGTCTGGGAGTGTAAACCCCACTAATTACCTGGTGCTGTTGGTCTCTTTCTTACACAATCCTACAGCATGTCCTTCTTTGGGATCTGCTATTGTTATATGGTGCAAAAAACCCACTAATCCATTTGGGAAAGGAGAATCTGTGTAGGAGTGCTCTGGGTAGAAGTATGCCTCTTCCAAATATCTTTGAATTACATTTAATATTACATTTATGCATTTTCCTGACTTACAGTAGAGGGAAGGGCTGCAATTTATGTGTGCTCCTGGGGTTCCTGGGATCTCCAGGTGCTTTATGGATCTTGCATAGTCCATATCTTTGAAAGGCTGACCGAGATGCCACCAGAAGACCCAACATCCGAAAACTTAAAATCCATTGTCTGTATTTAACTCAAGATTAAAGAAACAATCTTGGGAACAGGAAGTAACTAAACATCAGTGAAGGCTTCAGGGGGGGGGGGTACCTTAGTCTGTGCTCTGTGTCTGTGCTATGTCCCCCTCCAGGGCCCGAATAAGGCCCTTTGTATTTAACATTTTCTTCTTCCGCATTAATAACAAGCATCTGTGGAACAGATTAAACTGTTCCTACTTAGAGGATCCAATCAGAGACTCTCATCAGGGATTCAAAACCACAACCCCCTACTGGGCTATTTCTTCTTATCAATGAAGTGGTAGAAGAATGGATGGAATGAGAGTGAAAAAAGGAAGGAAGATGGCAGAGCCATTAAAGGGCCAGTGGCTTTTAGAGGAAAGATGCCTATTATCCTGATATGATTTATGAGATATCTTTTTAAATGACTCTGACACCAAGATCTCTTTGTCATTGTTAAAAGGTTGTCACCCGGCAGAGGGTTAGCGGTACAAAGGAGGCGGGGCCACGGACTGCGGGAATTTTTTACGTCTCGGAATGTGAAGCAGTATGCTGTCATTTCTGGGGTAGGTCAGGTGACCAATGTGGGAGGAGTCAATGAGACAAAAATAATAATAATAATAATTTCCTTTCTCTCTCCTGTCTCTGCCTGCGTGCTATTTTTAATGAATGAATTCCCTCAATAGAACACATACACAAATTTATTTTTAGAATTTAGTCGGCTCAGAGGTACAACAGTAACGATACATACAGATCATTCCTCGCCGGCATTGGTAGACCTTACTAGACTTCCTACCAGAAAACAGTTACCAAGAATGAACAATGGCTGACTGTTCTGTCATTATGACGTATCCCCATTCTCCCCGAAACGGGAATAACACACAGAAGTCAAAATGGCCGCAAAGACTTCTCGGTTAGCACGTGTGTCGATGTTTCTCTGGTGCCAAGGAGTGCGATCAAAGGCAGGTATTCGCCTTACTAAATGGTTCTGGTTCTGAGTGTTTCCAGTAGGTCTCTCAAGGCTCGTGTACGGGAGAGAAACGGATGCCAGAACACAGTGCTGAGACGCACGGCGGCCTGCCTTTCGCACGGCGGCCTGCCTTTCGCACGGCGGCCTGCCTTTCGCACGGCGGCCTGCCATTCGCACGGCCGCTTCAGCAGGGGATTCAGCCATCTCTGCGGGACCTCGGTTTTCCCCGTAAAGACTTGCTTAGGGATACAGGAATGTTAGAAAAAATATATATTTTTGCCGTCTTTTTAAATCAATCAAAAAGTTGTGGGTTTGAATCCGTCCCCAGCTCACGTGCGACGTTTCCTAACCTGTGTTCCCCCTTTACAGATGTTGAATTTCAGGGGTGGTTTTTCCAGCGTTAGATGCTGCCAAGATCAGCGGCAGCAGAAGCCATTGATGGATTATGGGATGTATTGTTTTTGTTAAATCACCGACAGAAGATCAGCGTTCTCAAAGGTTAAAATGATGCTGAAATTCAATTACCAGCAATTCAGCTCCGTAGATTGTTACTACGATTCCCCCCCTATTTCATCCCATATAAAAACATGCGTTTGCGTTTAGAATCGGATACTAAACCCTGTGATTCTCGATCCCTGAAAAATCAAATCGGTGCCATTTAAAAGCAATCATGGAAAAGCTTTTGGGCTGCCTGGGAGTCGCGTTTCTTATTCATCTTTTTCCTAGAAAGCAATAACACAAAATGTTCAATATTTAATCCACCAGAAACGAACGTCCTGTTGTGTCTTTTGTGTTCCGCGGCAGAGTCATAAATCAGAGCGCCGTGCAGCCAATTACAGGGATTGTGAACAGAAAGCCATTACCATGATCTCTCAGACTTTCCAAAACAATGGAGATGTTTAACACAGGACATTGTAATTAATGTAAAAAAAAAAAATTAAGTACGTAAATGGATTCGTCTCCATTACACATTGCGACACACTACTGAGCCTGCGACTCGCACATGAGCTAATGACCGTGAAGGACGTGGCCCCGCTGTGAATCGATGGACCCCCTCCTGGCCCCTACTGCCCCGTGGTCACATTCACAGGCCTCTCTCAGCTGACCAGGATGTAGACCAACGCTGATTACCCCCCCTCCGGCTGCAGAGCAGAACACAGAAAGCATGTTAAGTGAGTTTAGCGCTTCATTCTTCTCAGTCCTCTCCTCCCTCTATGCCTGACAGGTGTAGTGGGTGCAGACCAGTCTCCAGGTCTCCACTGGGTGGAGAACATGTCCTTGGACCTTGAGTTCACTGGGGCTTGCAATACATGACCGTTTAGCACTGCTTGCTCTGTCAAAGCACGTTTCCGCCCTGAAGCATCTGCTCTGGGATTTAGACAGGAACATAAGATCCCCTATTTATGTCTACGGAATACTTATTCTAGCGGTGTGTCTTGAGAAAGACCACAGTTTTAAAGGTTCTGCAGCAGAACCATTAAACGAAGGTTCTTAAACTGGATCTGTTCAAGAAAGCCTTCTTTAAACTGGAAGCTGGAAGGTAACGCCACTCTGAGTAACCTTTTACCCATCCATCTTCCATAACCACTTATGCAATACAGGCTCCTGGGGAGTTTGGACGCCATCCCAGGCAGCAGAGGGCACGAGGCGAGGGACACCCCGGGCGGGATGCCAGTCCATCACAGGGCAGGCAGTCACGCACACAATCACACTAAGGGGAATTCTGAGAGACAGATTCTGCCTGCATTTTTTGGACTGTGGGGGGACACCCATGCCAACATGGTTATGACATACAGACTCCACACATGCAATGCCAGGGGCGAGAAACGTATTCAGCCCGGTGCCAGCCATGTGAGCCCATTCCTCTGGATGAGCCCGAAGGCCAATGGGAGCACAGCTCTCTGGGAGATATGAGCGTCCAATGGGAACACAGCTTACATGTAGACACCATCGCCTAATAGGCATCTGCAATGAATAAGTGTGACTGTTAAGGTAAACACCTGATGCAACAGTTTAACAGTGACAGGCTTCTATAAACCCGCTCCAGCATCTACATGTTTATGCCAACGGCAACACTGAGGGAACGTTGCACCATCTCTGCGTTTGCCCGCCCCACTGAGGACTTCCTGAAAGGCAGCGGCCTTGCAGCGAAAAAAATCGAGGCTAAACAGGGAATTAAAAGTCAAAAGAAGCACATTTCTGTCCTGCGTTTGCCTCATTTCATTTTTAGGGAGCAGAGGCCACAGGATATTGATGCGGTTCCCTGGGATTAAGCTGACGGCTGCGTCTGGACTGAGAGGCAGGTCTGACTGCACATGGAGCTGGTCTGTGTCTAGGAGACGAGTCAGAAGCACATTACCAAAGAGCTGCATTCGCCATATGCTGTTTATTTCATACTCAAAACAGTAAAACTGAAATGACAGTATTTGGAAAACAATTTTCTTTTAAGACTCTATCGCCCAGCTAAATAAATCCATTTGAGCTAATTCAGCATATGTTCGACACAATTTGAGAAACATTTTGGTTTATGTTCAACTTTTCTAGCTCTTTAAAATATGACTATATGCTCCCCAG